CAGTGAGCAACTGTACCAAAAGCTCCTCGTAAGTTAGATGAGGACCCAACAACTTGGTCATATGGAGGTCACCTCTTGACCTAGAGAATGGCAATTCAGTGGAGTGGTTGGTGGTAAAGCCTACATGATGTGGGTTTGAGAGTGACTCAAAGGACAGGAAGTGGAGAAAGTGTATATTGATTGTTCTTTTGAGGAGTTTTTGCTTTAAAAGGCATGGGAGAGAGAAATGCGATAGTAAGATGAAAAGTCAGCTGAAAGAATTTTTTGTTAAATGGGAGAAATGATAGCATGTTTGCTGACAAAAGATCCAGGAGAGTGAGAAAACATGCTGGAAAGAAGGGAGAAAACTGCCGGAGTATGGTTTTTAAGGTATATAATTTAGACTTTAAAGATACCCATATTAAATATAATCGAAGAGGATCAACTTACTTCTGCCAGATAATAAAATTATGCCAAAACCAAATAAAAGTGTTATTAATGTAAAAAGGGAACTACAGACATATGGAATTAAAAAGGTCTCCAAATTAATCTAATTCTATATGAGAAAGTAGTACTTACCAAATGTCTAGAGTAATTAGTATTCTATATTTAGAAGAAAAAGAAATCACAACGTAAAAAATGAAGAAGTTGAACTGTGTTAAGACTATAAATCCTCGGGGTGCCTGGGTGGCTCAGGGGGTTAAAGCCTCTGCCTTCGGCGCAGGTCATGATCCCAGGGTCCTGGGATCGAGCCCCACATCGGGCTCTCTGCTCAGCAGGGAGCCTGCTTCCCCGCCCCCCCTGCCTGCCTCTCTGCCTACTTGTGATCTCTGTCAAATAAATAAAATCTTAAAAAAAAAAAAGACTATAAATCCTCTTTACAACTAAAAAATAAAATATCTAAAGAAAAGTGTAGATTGAGAAAATTTAAATCAAATATGATTTAAGGTTAATTAAATAAGGAGCTCAGGCAAACAAGTAATTATCAAGTAACCAAGAAACAAAAGGGTAAAGTACATACAGAATATTTGTACAACAGGAGATACAGGAAATATCAGGACAAATATTAAAGCTTGCTAACAGTAAAATTCAAAAGAAAACAATCAGATCTGTCATATTTACTAAGAAAATATGAAAAAATTGAAACACCCAAATCTGGCTACACTGTGAGAAAGACAGTAATCAGACATTGTTGGTGGCAATGTAAAATATTAACATCCTTTTGGACAGCAATTTGGTAATTCATATCAATAGTCATAAAAATATTCACAGCCTTTGACTCTAATACTTCTCTTGGATATTCAGGCTAAGAAAATACTTAAAGAAAAAAGTATATGTAAAGGATGTTCACTACATTACAATTAACTTTAGTTATGATAATTAAATATTAAATATGATCTAAAAGGAAAGTTTAAAAAATGAATGGTTATGAAAATCATGAACTTTGGCCTGATTACACAAGAGATAAAATATGATTTCAGAGAACACAGAAGATGCTTAAATATAGTAAGAATAATATAAAACTTTTTTTTTTAAACTATACTCTAATTACAACTATGTCACCTACAACGAGACAAAGAAAAATGTAAATTGAAAACAGTTAAACATTCAGTATGTCGGGACTATAGGGGAATATGTTCTCCCTTGTTCTGATAACAACTACTAATACTGAATATTTACCATGTGTCCAATGTTGGACTATAAACATTATGTATATGGACACATTTAATCCTATGGGGTAGGTTGTAGCCAATAAATGGCATAGCTGGTATCTGAATTCAGGCAGTCTTTCATCCTGATCTTAACCATATGATATATACCCAAGTAAGGAAAGTTCTAAAAGTGGGATTTCTCTCATCCTGTAAGAGTCATGTTTCAAAAGGTAAGGTATAGGTAATCACAAATGAACAAAATATCACTCAGACTACTGTCCCTTAATGATTGCTAACTAACTTTTCAATCTTGCCTGCAAAGTTAAAAATGACTTTAAACAGAATGGAAAAACAAAACAAAATAAAACTATTTCATACCAATACAGAATGCTAGACCTGTAAAAGAGAGTTCAGATTACTAGATCCCTTTACCTCTACAGAGAAAGAAACTGAGGACCCTAATCAGTGAGGGGCTGACTCAAGGTTATTCAGGTGGTTACTATAACTAAAGCTAGTTCTAAATTCCAGGTTTCCTGATGACAATCCAATAATATTTCTTTCTATACTATCTTATTCCCCTCCCCCATAAGAAATATCTGTATCTATTATACTTTTTAAGTGCAGAATAAATGTCCGGCAACACATCTGGTGTTTTACATCACCTTACAATAGTTTTAATACAGCAGTTTTAATAGTAGTTTAATATTATAACCTCTTTAAGAAGGCAGTGAAGCTCGGATGAGTTTAGCACATCTCCCAGCAGCACCCAGCTATTAAGTGGCATCCAGATCTGATTCCAAAGCCAGTGTTCTTCCTCCGATATCTACTACAAGGTCTGGGGAGAAAGTGCTCATGCACACAAGGAGCTCTGGTTATGGAAGTTCCTTGTGTTCCCTGCGCATACCACCAAAGGTTCACTTTGAGAGAACTGTCTGATCTTTCTTCGGGCTCAGGACTCAGCTGGCTGTACCAGTGGGTTAAAAAGAATGTACATAAATTCTATCTCCTGGCATGAAAAAAAGTTTCCAAGTGTGTGTCCCTTTGGTACAATCAAGGGAGTAGAAAACATTTAGTGCTTAGAGACTGAAAAATTGAGGACCACAGGGGCAAAAGATAATGATGCTCATTATTCTTTACAGTTGTGCTTTCTAGTCTGCTAATGGTTCAATGGCTCATGAAATACAATTCTATAATTTTTCTCCCTTACACTTTGGTTTCTTTTCTTTTGCCTCACACTTCAAATTCCATAGATTCTAGCACTGTAGGCTTTAATCCCCTCTCTCCAGTTGTCTTCTGTGTTTTCTCATTTACAACCATCTCACTCAGCAAGGGAGACAATCTTCCAACGCAAATCCACCACTGCCTAACAAAATTTATCACTTTTTCCTTAAATTCCTTGAAAACAGGCCCTATTCTACCTTTCCAGCTTGCTCTCTCTCCCGAGTCCCTCAAGTTCCCTGTAACTTATCTGGGCTTACCCTCCTCTGTGTTTTGGCTCACAATGATCTCTTTATCTGGAATCCTTTACTCTTTCATCTTTGGCTGTCTAAATTCAGATGGTCCGGACCATCTCAAATATAATCTCCCTTGTTTGTTTTTTTTTTTTTTTTTATTCTCCAACCAGATTTAATTCCCTCCTTATCTAACCCCTATAGCAGTGGGTGTAACTCTTACAGGACTTGACATTGTCATCTGTACTATTGGTATGAGTATATCTGAACTGTCAGTTTCATTAACATCAACACTGTTACTAACTTTTGTGTTATAGGTAGCACCTAGAAAAGACTTTCATATTCATAGTCAATGATCAAAAACAAAAATTTGAGTTGAGTAATGCAAACTGCATCAAAGTACTTCATGATTTTCTGTTAAAAAAAGAAAACTGGTCAAAGGAAAACAGTTAAAAAAAAACAGTACAGCTACTTCAATTACTAGGTGCAGACACACACTTGATATACAATATCTAGGTGAGACACACACCTATTATACACCTGCTAGGTCAAGGAAGGTATACCTGTATTATGTAAATGACACTCAAAGGCTTAAAAAGGCTAAAAAAAAGATCTGAAGACATATGTAGTATGTTTTTAATTTCCCGATTTTTAGTTCTGTACATACGAACGCAGGAAGCTCTGAAGCTATAAATCTAGAAACTGTAGGGAGATAGGACAAACTTCATTAAGGCAATCAAATATAAATTTAGAGGCCTATTGAAAATCAGGTTGAATAGAGCTACTATGTGACTGATTCACTCCCCAAAAACCGAAACTCGCAGAAAATTTAGCTCCCTTTTCCGAGTGAAAAACAAAATATGAAAATCTGGTAATGTTATTTTTTCCACATTCTAAAGCTAATCGGAGAAGCCTGCTGCCTCACAAAAACATTTCAGAAAGGTACTGAGGTAATATTACTCCTACAGAGATCATGAATAATGAATCCACGGGATCCTGGCTGTACCTACGTCATTGTTTACTTTGTGATTTTTTTTTTTTTTGAAGGGGAGGGTGGTGAGGTGAGGAGGAAAGGAGAAAATCAGTTCAAATTGTAGTGAAACAAATACTTTTAGTGGAGTTGCGGTTTTTTTTTTTTAATATACCTGTAGCACTTGTTGATAAGAGCACAGTGAAATTAACCGATAATTTGAATAAAGGCAACAGGCACCTGCAGCCTCTCAATCACTTAAGCAAACATATCCGACAAGATAGGGCCAAATTCTGCGATCTGGGCGAACAAACGGGCGTCACCATTCCAGAGGAGCGTCTTTCTAGGTAAGCTGTAGATCTTGGGGCAACTGGGCTCTCTCCCAGGGATCTGAGCTAGGAGCGGTCTCAGGTTTTTAGACAAATCTCTCCTCCTACCACACGTGACCGAATGGCATTCTGCCGCCTAGAGAGACACCGCACCACACCAACCGCGGGATACAAAGGCTCGACGCCGCAGCCGACGCCGCATCCTTGGGAGGATCACCGGGCCTCCCGCGCTCAGCGTCTGCGGAGCCTGCGCAGGGCGCCGCCGCGAGGCGCGCCGCTCCCAGGCCCACAGGGCGGTGCCGCGCAGCGCGGGGAGCGCGCGCCTTCTGCCTAGCGCGCCCGCCCGCCCAGCGCCTCGGGAGCAGGGCCGCCACGCCGCACGCAGCCCGGCCGCGCCGCAGCCGCAGCCGCCGCCACCGGGCCTTCGTCCGCTGCAGGGAGCCCCGCACCGACGTGGACCAGGGTGAGGAGGCCGAGGGCCCCCAGCCCCCGGGCAGGCCCGAGGCCGAGCCAGCCCACCCCTGCCCAGGCCTGGGCCTTCCCCTCTCCTAGCCCCTGCCCCTCCCTATGCCTTCCCCGGGACTGGTGCGAGCGGCGGGGCGCCGTGAGCTGCACTTACACCACGGCTCTGGAGATCATCCAGGACACCATCTTCCCGGGGGCTTGGACCCCAGCTCGGGGACGGGTGGGCGCCGAGCGTGGCGGACCAGGCCGCCAACGGCAGGCCGCGCGCTCGCCGGCTCCTCGCGCTCCCCGGGGCCGCGCTGGCGCCCTCGGGAGCCGGGCCGGGTGTATGCGCGCAGCGGCTGGAGCTGCGCGGCGGTCGGTCCCCCGCCCGTCCCCGCCCGCGGCCGAGCCGCAGCCGAACCCAGCCGGCCCCGCCCCTGCACTCCGCTGATAGGCGGCGGCGGCGGCGGCGGCGCGTCGGCCGAGGCCGGGTCTGGGCGGCCGTGCTCCGGGGGTTGGGCGGTCGGGACCCCGGCCGACGCCGGAAAGCCTCGCGGCCTGGGCCTCTGCGTTCGAACCTCCACCATCCTTCTCTTTACATCTCTGGGACGCCCAGCTGGCGTGGAGGGGAAGTGGGGGTGGCGGGAGGCTGAAACAGGGAACTTGCGGGTAGGGATTGTGATGAGGTGTGTGAAAAAATAGCAGGAACTCTATGTCCGATAGACTCCTGAATCAGGCCCTAGAATCTGGGGAGGCGAGATTTTGAGATGTGTGTAGCCATATCCCGTGTCGCCTCCGTTCACTGAGGCCCAGCGGCCTGGGCATCATCAAAGTAGGGCATTTTAAGGGAAACGTCGCGAGGATCCTTGCACAGGCCTCGGTGTATACCAGCAGTCTCGTGGTGCGTGGTGCAGTGCAGGGAGGGGCAGAGCAGGATGGCATTGGATTTCATGGTTGCAGCGGTGGGTGTATCGATATCACTGCTTTGGGCCTCTCAGAGCATCTTTCCAGTCGCAACATCTGCAAAGCCTGTTTTACAGACACACATCTGAGACTGCCAGATATTCAAAGTCAAAACTGGGCTTAGAATTCCTCACCTGCTCTGCTATACATTTGTCTTTATGCGGGGAGGTTGGGTTACTGCCTACTCCTTGCAGGTCTTGCAGATAGCGTGATTTCAGGAGATAGGGTTTAAAAACAGTTTTTTGGTGGCAGTACTAAATTGAGAAACTGATCTTCAAGTTTAGTCTTGTCTTTTTTTTTTTTTTTTTCCTTCTTCCCAGTTCACAGGACAGTAAAAGGTAATTCTAATACTCAGGTGGTACAAAGAATAGAGGATGAAATGTCGGCTTCAAGCCTTTAATTAAAGTCCTAGAAATCAGCTTATTTTGTGACCATGTAATTTATTCTTTTTGTTCCTCAGTTTCTTCATAGTAAAAAGGGACTAATGATACTGTAGCTTACCTCTTGCCTTCCAGAGTGACATGAGGCACTGCTAATAACATGTTTAGGAAGTTCTCCAACTTGCTTGGAAGAAGATGGATGGCATGTATAAGATTATTCTGAATTCTTTTACGTTCCCAGGTTCAATAAATTTAGTAATACTACTTTTACTTAAGAATTGAGCCCAGAAGTTGGTTTCTACTTTAGGGTTGGGTTCTTTTTGTTATTTACTCATGTTAAGAATATGTATTTTAGTTTCAGGAATCTCGTTAATGAATATTTGTATTTGGAATCTTATTTTTGGCTATTATTCAGCAGTCTTTGGAGATCAGGTGTGTCACATTAGTACCAGTTTTCTGTAAAACTCTTGCCCAATAAAACTCAGACTCGTCTGAATAGCACTTAAATCCATCCATGAACAGGTCCTGAAATGTTTTTACAACCCGAGTTTTTACTGCTTTCCCAACGCTTTTGGACCCCTGCTTTTTCCCTAGCTTTCTTCTCTGAACCAAGTTGTATTTATATGCCCAGCACTTTTCCCCAGACTTTATTTTTTTCTTTAATGATTTACTCTCCCTTCTCTACCTGTCACAATCTTTGTTTTTCAGAGTGCTATGCCATGGGATGTCCTTGATTTTCCCCAGTGAAAATTATTCATAATTTTTCCTTGGCCCCCATAATTTATTAGTTGAATTTCTATTTAATGCCTATTTCATTCCACTTTATATTATGGCTATGTTTTCCTGGTGTCTAATCTACTGGATGGTAAAATGTTTGAGGACAGACATGGTATGTTCGATATCTTTTGTGTTTTCCAAGGCTGTAGAATAGGATAATTGCCCAAGGGAAGTTTGAATAAGTTTGAAAAGTTTGTTAGTATTGGAGCTTTGTTAAGTTTGTTTGTATTGGAGCTTTATGGAATTTCAGCCATGTACTGTGGAAGTATCTTGAAGATGTCTTTCTTGTGTTCTTAATTTGGGGGTCATTCATTCTGAATATTATTTCACTGCCTTCACTGTAATATATGCCTTCAGGGGTTGCTGAGATATGTAGGACTGTTGGCTGCTCTCAAATGTCCCTAGGCTGCTGTGTGTTAAATTTCATTTTGTACGCTTATTTTATCTTCAGACTCTTCCATATTCATATCACTTTTTGCTGTTCTCAATCTGGAATTGCCTCCTTCTTTATACATCTCAATATGCCATGTGCTGGAAACCACCTGCCCTGTGCTAAGCACATGTTGTGGAATCAACCTTTACAACCCAAAAGGTGTAGGTAGTGTTTATCCCCATTTGATATACTAGAAACTGAGGTTTAGGGAGCTCATTGCCAATGACCATATAGTTCATAGGTGAAACAACCGCAACTAGTCCATGCTTCCTGCATTTTCTTGACATTATACTGTGATAGTCAAATTGTGACTAAGGAAGTAGGTCCAGATGGGGAGTGCCCTCTTGGAGGAAGTTGGGAGGCAAGTTTTTTGTTTGGTGGTTGGGGCTAACCACTAGCATTTAATGGGTGGGGACTAGGGATGTTATACTTTTTGCAGTGCGTGGGCTACTGTGAGCAAAGAATGTTCCCAGGTCATATATGATTAGGAATATCCTGCCTGACATTTGTGTATTCATAATTATTGGAATCTAGAAACTCCAATTTACATATAAACTAATGGTTTTAACTGAGACTGAACTTTCCAGTCTCTATTTCCACATGCAAATGTTGTGTGAAAGGAAGATTTGTTTTGTTCACAACTTGAACAAGAGTTATTTACAGTTTTGGAAAATTGCATCACAAACCACTTTGCTATCATTTTCATGTACTAATTACTTTTATATGTCTTCTAGTTCAGTTTTGTTTCAGGATTAACATTGAAATACTTATTATCTTATAAGTTATTTTCATTTTCCTTTTACATTTATATTTAGGGTATATGGTTTTGTTTGAAATTGTTTGTAAGGAAGATTGTTATTAATTTCATTTCAGGGTGATAATGCAGAAGTTGGAAAATATTTTATGGAGGGGAAACACTGAGTCTGATAAGGTTCAGAATTCTTGGGCTAATAAGAGTAAATTCATCTGGTAAGGGGTCTCTTATGGAAAGTGCCCTGATTTTAGTAGTAGGTGTTTCTAATCTCTATGTATTTTGCTGAATCTTGGATGGTAGAGATCCTCTAGAGATCCTCTAGTAGGTGGCCATCAAAAAGTGCTTTGTGATGTGAGGCAAGGCTCTAGAGACTTGGAAGAAAAAGAAATATATTACCTGTGACCTAGAAGCTTTTTTTTTTTTTTTTTTGAGGGTTTTATTTATTTGACAGAGAGAGACAGAGCAAGAGAGGGCACACAAGCAGGGGGAGTGAGAGAGGGCGAAGGAGGCTCCCCGTTGAGTAGAGAGCCTGATGCGGGGCTAAATCCCAGGACTCTGGGATCATGACCTGAGTCAAAGACAGATGCTTAACGACTGAGCCACCCAGGCACCCCCATAGAAGCTTTTAAAGTTTTGTCTCATTTGACATATTTGAGATCATTTCTTGTATAGAAAATAGAAAATTATTATTTTAAATACTAAATGGGGCGCCTGGGTGGCTCAGTGGGTTAAGCCGCTGCCTTCGGCTCAGGTCATGATCTCAGGGTCCTGGGATCGAGTCCCGCATCAGGCTCGCTGCTCAGCAGGGAGCCTGCTTCCCTCCCTCTTCTCTCTTTGCCTGTCTCTCTGCCTACTTGTGGGGTCTCTCTCTCTCTCTCTCTGTCAAATAAATAAATAAATACTAAATGGTTTTTTTCTTCTTCTTTTTAACATACATTACTAGTATTCATTTGTTGTGCTGTGGAGTGCTTCCTCCACTTTATTATGCAAAGATACTTTTCTGTGGGTATTGAGTTTAACATGGAGGGAAGTAGCATATTTAGGGCAAAGGACCTTCTATCTGGAGACCTATTTCTGCCCTCAGTAATGTGATGTTTGGCAAGTCCTTTTAAATGAAGTTGATAATGTTATCAAATGTAAGGGGTTTTAAAACTTAAGGCTAATTAATTAGACTCTGTTAGAAGAATTGCTTTTTCTCCTACATCTTCTCTTAGTGTTCCTAGGAGATATGTAGAATGTGCATCTTCTACGTGTTAAAGGAATTTATTTATTAGGAACAAAAAAAGAGTAGCAAAGTACCTAGGAGACTGGTAGTGAGAGCAGAATTACATGGTGCAGCGATAGTATCTAATTTGTGTAATTATTAATGAGTATGCCAATGGTACTAAATACTAGGTCATCTTCCCCTTCCTACTGGAGGAATATTTTCAAGTGCTTGAAAATATTTTTTATTTGGAGGAAGACTAAAATTACTAAATGGGTCTGCCTTAACAGTTGCTTAGAAAATAGTTTGAGGGAGAGGATCCTAAAGAGAATGACTTAAAAGGTGAACCTGTTCTTTTTCCATCTCCTGCTAGATGAATATTTCTTTTATTTTAGCCAATTTGCTTTACAGTATTATGGTGACAACAGATGTCAAATTTGCCATCCGACATTGAAATAAAATTATGAGGAAAAGTAATATTCAAAATATAATAATCAGATTGCAGGAGAATGGAAAGATTAGATTCTGAAGAAGATGAAAGCAAAATATGTCTGTGATGGCTGGATCTAGGGAATACACTTTGTAAGGAATTGACAGTATCTGAAGGTCTTATGCATTTGAAGTAGTAGCTTTACTTACCATCATTAAGGATTTAAACAGAACTTTTTCCCCCCTTCAAGTCGTGTGTTCGATTCTGTTAAATGGCAGAAAAACACGTAGCACAAGCCGTATTTGGGGCACTTTCGCTATTCATTTAAAATAGAATAAATTAAATCATAGTTCCTAGGTGTTTTTTTTCCCCCAAGTTTTTATTTATTTATTTATTTATTTATTTATTTATTTGACAAAGAGAGATACA